ATATGCTCACAACAGTACTTTATTCCCCTACAGGGTAGTTAGAGATATTGTAATACCTCAAAACATCCATGTTGCACTTGTAGTACCGAAACTCTGTCCAGCCAGAAGTGAGCCCATTCCCACTTATAATGGACAGTGGGTATAATACACCTTAATACCTGAGTGCGAACCACTCACCATGATACTTAAATTAATAGATGTTATTTATATATTTCAGGATATTACAAATTAAATCATTTTGGAAACAATTGATATCCCAAAAGCAAATAAAGCCAACAATGACAAGGTAATAAATCAGTTTTGACATAACTTTAATACTAAAAAAGCCAAACAAAGGTGTGCACAACAGTGACAACATAACTTAACAATTTCATTATTTTGTAGGATTAAAGAAAGGTTAAAGAAAATCATGTCGAACTGAACAACAAGAATCCCCAAACAACTCCAAAGAAACCTACAAGGAAGACACCGATATTATATTTAAATTATCTCTATCTCTAAATAGAATAAAAGAAAGTTGCTATTCAGGTCTGTAGCATGTGCTACAAATTATATTATTAACACATTTATATAACTATAATAATATAAATGTGTTAAAAATTTTATAATATGAATTATACAAAATTTTAACTTTTGCATGGACAGAGCTTAAGTTAATATTCTCTTATTTGTTGCAGAAAGCAGTTTTGGAGAAGCCTCGTAGATGCACAACCAAGTAATGATTAATTTAAAATTACAAACCGAAATTCTGATGAAGACATTAGAGTCACTTAAAAATAAATAGTATAATGAAATGAAAATGTTTTAAAGATAAATAGTGTTTTATTTGTTTAATGTAAGAGAATAATAATAAATATTTATTTAATTAATTTTTCAAATGTATACTGAACTTTATTGACTTTAATGACTCCTTTTCCAGTCTTTGATTATTTAATTGTAATTAATTATTTGCATGCAATCAAAAACTATTTTTAATAATGCCAAAGAAGTATAACTTCTTACGCGCGTACATAAGTACACGCACCCTTTTTTTTTTTTTATGGTGCAAAAAGCGTCCTATTCGTACGCATAGTTATGTCTGTAGAGTCTAGAGTCTCCTATTCTTAAACTATACATGAATAAAGCAAAAACATACTTAAAATATAGTAAAAATAACGCACAAAATATATTAAAATAGGATAAATGTATAAAACGCATAATATAAGGTTATAAGGTGAGAAGACCTAGATGTCAATAAAGCCGAAAATCTCATAAACTGCAGAAAGTTTCAATGTCATACAAGTTTTACAGCAAGACATTACACGACTGCAGTGCTGTAGCATCTTTATTTTTAGACTTGGCTCCAGTCTGACCTAGAACGTCTGCCATTTAAAGGAAGTACGGTTCAATCTATACATTCCTGTTATATTTACATTTATTTTAGGATTTTATTAAAGTTAACATTAGTACAACTTTGTTTCCAAATACAGAAATGTTTATTGCGTGCCATTGCGTAAGAAGAATGGCACAGTTTTACACATTAGGCCTCTTCTCTCTAGCGCCAATATTGCGATACTGCATGTTAAAGCACTTTCTGATATACATCATTTTTTGATGAGGTAACACATGTCTTCGATCAAGATCAAAGCCAGGTTATGCATCTCCTCATTCACCTCAAGATCGGAATTTTTTGAACTGACACGAATTCGATGTAAAATGATGCGTAGTTTTATCAACAGATCACCAAAGAGGCACCACATGCTGCTTGCATTCAATAAATTAATTTATTGTTATTCGATAACTTATCCGATATTTTATTACTTATTCTGCTATTCGGAGCGGAGAAGAATCCACCAAAAAAGAGATAACTAACATCGGTTCAGCCGATCTTGAGTTATAAGTGGTGTAACTAACACGACTTTGTTTTATATATTGAGATACTATCAAATTCGCTCATAGCCTTAGGGCTGATTGCAAATACCCGCAGAAAGTAAGTTTCGTTTGAACGAATGAATTTCGCTACAAGTACATTTGAACACTCGTTAAAGGTAGATATTGTAAGAAAGGTTCGTTCGTACCTTCCTGGAAATACAATGATTAAAGAAGATATTTTTTTTCACTGTGCAGATTTATTCGACTGATAAAAATAACGATCTAGTTATGAGCGATGTAAGACTTACCCAATTTTATTACGATATGAGGGTAGATTTACGACTTCCGACAGTAATAATAATTAAACCTTGATTTACTGGTAGATAAGTTTGAAAAACATAACATTGTTTTATGGTTATTGGAGTAGCCTCTGATAAGGTTAAAGGGCACTGCAGGCGCAGGAGGTAAGCGGTCTTATTCTTTGTCTGGAGTGCAGTCGATGTTACTAGTACTTAACAGTAGTGTACAAGAATAAAAATATAAAATTGTTATACAAAAAGAGGAAATGTTTTTGACAGATATAATAAACATGTTTTAAAATGGAATGAAATTTGCATATAAAATTGGGTTGAGATTTATTTAAACTATTAAACTCAACGTTTTGCAGCAAAAGCTATTCGCGATATATAAAAAGCTTTATTTATTAATATCCACAATCCGTGCAAAGTTTATCATACTTGAACATTTCTATTGAAATATTTTTCACTGTATTTTTATGTTTTCCGTAGTATGCATAGCAAAAAACAAAAATCAAGGATCACGTTACTATTATACGTTTGATGTTTCATGTTAAAATTTAAAAATTCTGTATTTTTTATATTGTCGAACACTCTCAAAATATGTGTTAAAATGTGAGAACACTTTTTGAAGAATGTTTGAAGTAAAATTGTATTGAATTAAGGTTATACAGACGAATTTACATATATACTATTTCAATCAAATTGCACACGGTGTGCAAATTTGATTGAAATCGGTTAAGTAGTTTAGTTTGTAGTTTCCCATTGCAATATTTTTAACAAAATAATAATATATTTATTTTTTATTAGCTTAGACTGGTGCAAAAAAAATCACTTCATATTACGCTTCATCAATTCTTCAATTGATACTTCGTCGACTACTTACATATGAAAACCAGCTATATATAAATATAGCTGGTTTAAAATAATATAAAACAGGTTTTGGTTAAAAAAGCTGTAAAATTAATGAGAGAAATCCCACGACTCTCATTAAGTGGAATTGGAAGGAAAATGGCCCACGCAAAAACATCTAACTTAGAAGAATATTGCTGTTCAGAGTGCCTAATGCGCTTTGTTATTATTTTCTTTATCAATTGTATATTTAACTACGCGCAGCCACTACATACGATACTCACTGTTACTTATTACCTTATATTCTAGCTTGGGCGTGAGGAAAGAAGAATGTTAATGTGTTTGAAAATGCATCATTACGACCGTAATTTATATTACCTAGTAGGCACTTTTGGTTTACATAATATGCGTGAGTTTTTTAACCCTTTGATCAATGTATAACACATTTTTGTAAACTTTCTTATATGAGAATACGTTGGAGAAACACTGTTTTAGTTAAATTACAGAGTATTTCATGAACTTGATTTTTATCAGAAAACTTAAATAATATTTCTTGTTAAGAGTTAGTAAAAATATTATACAAAACACAGTCTTTCATAAACGCGAGTATGTACTACCACTAAATTTGTTAATCACGAGAAAAGCCAATCAAAATATTGAGTAATATGTATAACAAATTTATATTAAAAACGTTTAATTAAAAAATCTGAAATATCCTAAAATAGAGATTAAAAATGAATTTATATTATTCCCACCGACGCGTAATCTCCAAAGCCAACGTTAATATTGAACAAAATGTCCATCTGCCATTGAGATTTAATATAGAATCGGAGATTGGTAATTCCTTCAAACTCCCCGAATCTCATTCAAAAAGCCGTATTAAATCATCTGGAGTTGAGCCCATTATAATTGCTTGAATAAATCGTCGTTAGATTTCAGTCGACTCCGCTTAATGTGCTTATTTGAACAATAATGAAATTAATTTCGTAATTAGTCCCAGTTAACTGCAGATTAATGTAATATATCATACTATGGTAATTGCTATACACAAACAAAAGCTAAATTAGCATATGCTACGCTATACATACCCTTCTAAATAACGCTCTCTTCTATTATGCATAAGGTCGTCATAGTTTCCGATTCCAGTCTATAGATCCTCACATGTTGCAAGATATAAGGCGCGTGCAGCCTTAGGGCTCAATATAGTGCAGTCAGTCATATTCAATATTCAAGTCAAGTCAATACATATTTAAAGATATACAATTCCTTCTTTGTAAAGGACCGGTGGCCGTCGTGATAATTACCTTAATATCATATCGTTTTCATTCACCAAGTGCTGTCATATTTCCTGATAGGACGTAGAGATCCAGGAACATCAGGGAGCAGGCTGGTAACAAAACTTTTGATAATAAACTTAACTAAGGACAAGATAAGAAGTACAGAAATAAGAAAGAAAACAAAAATTGTTGATGCACTATATTCCATTGCAAAAAACTTAAGTGGAAATGGGCGGGCTAAACCGCTCATATGAACATTGGCAGATGCACAAACAGGGTAACATGGTCCAAAGGGGCTACCAGGGATAAGAAAGAGACGTCCCCCTCTTGCACGGTGGGCTAACGAACTTAAAGAAGTTGGTGGTGAAGGATGGGAGAAAACTGTGTAAGATAGAGAGAGAAGAAGCCAGTTGGAGGAGGCCTATACACTATAAGAGGTCCTTAAAGAAATATAATTATATTTCTTCAAGGACCTCTTTAATTGTATAAAATTTTGTAAAGATGAGGAATGGTTCAAGAATTAAAGGAATCTTAAATATTAATTATTATTTATTAATAGACTTGCACATATCTACTGGTAAGAAGACCAGTGTTGCCATGGGCAGTCTGTTGGGGTCCATTATTGTTTTAAAAATATGTCCCCGCGTAAGCCCTTCTAAAGGACATGGTACTTCTATTCGTGACCTCCTGCATGTTATCACTTCAATAATCTGTAATTCACCAGGTGCTGGCTTCATGCGTCTCTTTGGAACACATCTAACAACACACGGATCATCACTCTGCACGTACTTCCGTATGCTGAGGCCCAAAAGCGTACGACTGGACTTCCACGAGATCCTCAAACGCGTCAACACCCCTTTTATGTTCTGCCTGAAGATACCAGGGAATTCATTGGCCGAGGTAAGTTGATATTAATAATATATAGATTGTAAAATGAGAAATTTAGAACCGTACTCAGGGACGATTACAGTTATCTAAGACATTTACTCACTTAAATATATTCATGTATTTTCATTTTTTTTACCTAAAAGCTAGTTTTTAGTTCAGTTTATTTTATTTTAGATTAAGTTTGGTAACTGTATAATGTTTCAGTGTTTAAAGAAAAATCTTTTTAACCGGATTAAAGTTATGTATTATTATAAATTCCTGTAATTCCTCGAGGAGGAACTACAGCATGTCAAACAGGTGCTACACCGAAACAAGCTGCGCATCCCCCGGCTGCATCACAAAAACAAAAACAAGACACAAACAGTTCCCCGCCAGCCAGCCTACCTGCCATATGTAAAGGGAGTTACAGATAGAATTAGCCGGATCCTAAAACGAGCTTCTATTCATACAATTTTCAAGCCGCACAAGAAGATTCAGCAATTCCTAAGACCAATCAAAAGTAACACCCCGTTGCAAGATGCAGGTATATACAAACTGGATTGCGACTGTGGCCTGTCTTACATAGGGCAAACTAAAAGCAATATGTCCAGCAGACTCAAAGAACACATTGCGGACATAAGACATAGACGACACACAAAATCAGCAGTCTATGAACACATACTAGATAGGCCTAATCACTAGATACGCTTTGACCAACCGAAAGGACTTGCGAAAGAGAAAAGATTCTTCCCAAGATCGGTACGCGAAGCCATTGAAATCAAAAACACCATTATTTCAATAGAGAAGACGGCCTAAAATTGTCAAACACCTGGGATCCAATAATATCCAAATAAAAATCTCAAGAAAAACAATCCGCGAAAATAGAGGACACCGTGAGCCATTTTTGCCAAAACCCTCCATCTTTTAGTCGATACCAACTCGGGGAAATAAATACAGATAATGCAACTTTCTCTACAGCTGTGATACTTTTTGACATCCAACACCTTTTGTCTTCAGTCACCGTGACCACGCACGCTGTAAAGCACGCGAAACGTCGGATAAATTTGAAATTATGTTAAATAATTGTAAATTTATAATAATACATAACTTTAATCCGGTTAAAAAGTTTTTTCTTTAAATGTGTAAAGGTTATGTCAATAAAAGACAATACTATGTTTCAGTGTTACTTGTTCAAATTTGCCCATGCCAGAAAATCTTTGTACCAAAAACATTTTTGTAAAAAATTAAAAAAAAATTTGATGAATTTACATTCTATATTTCACAATGTTGGCGGAACGTATAACATAAATTCAATAATACTTTATAGTATGTAGTATCCGTTTTTTATATTCAGCTGCCCACCGATGTATTTCCGAACCGATTCCACTTTAAGGAAAGAGCGTACCAATTCTTAAAAGGCCGGCAACGCATTTGCGAGCCCTTTGGCAATATGAGTGTCAATGAGCGGCGGTATCATTTAACATCAGATGACCCTCCTTGCCCGTTTGGCTCGTTTTACCCCTGTCATATACATCTATATAATGGTATATGGACAAATTATTTAACTCAAAATTTATAAATTGTCACCTAAAATACTAACGATGTTATCTAAATTATCAATAATATTTAAAATACATGTGAATAAGTCAGCCGTATCAAATAATTCCCATAAATACCATTCAATTTGAACGCGAGCCAAATTTACTAACACGATTTTGAAATAACATAATTTTCATTTCTCTAAATAGTAATCACTTTTAACATTTGCGGTCGCATAGAGTAAATTTATAGAGGATATTACGTTCTGTGGTTAACATCCGTAGGTCACTGTTTTGTTTACTCTGTGGTCATCGTATTTTGGTAGAATGACATTAATTGTATAATTAATTATTACCATTTAGACAAATAAGTTTAGTAAATAAAAGCAGCAGCATCATTAGCCCAATTCTTTTGCCAAAGCATACTCAAACGAAGGAATTCATTGTCAATAATAATCACTGTGTAAGTTTTCAGTAATTTTATAAATGTCTCATAACTAAAGAACAATATTACCTACGGACTTATAAAATAAATAGAATTTTATCACAGATACATTGGCAAGTCAATTCTGTGAATATTTGACCAAATATGTGTAATACTGTCCTTCGCCTTAAGGTATTATGCCTTTTATCGAACAAAGAGCCTTTGATGTTACAGCCTTAAAATATCTTACATTTACCGAAAAATAAAACGTGAGTTATTCGTTGGTTACAGTATTTTTTTACCGATTTTCTCAATTATTGTTCAGTTTATGAAAAGGTGAATATTTTTTATACATGTGTCTTTTCTCTGTCATCACGGAACATTACGATCTAGCCTAACTTAAGACTAATAAGTAATTTAAGTCTAACCTAATTTACTAATAAGGATATGTAACATAAGAAAGTGTCCAATAATACTACTTACAGTTTCTAGAGGAAGACTCTGCTCTTGTGTACTATTTTTTCACTCACTGCTTGGCACTTAATACTAACGTGCACTAACACTAATTGACTAGTTCAAATGGTTTTGTACTTTTCAGTCTTCTCACTAGGCTCGTGGTGTCAAGGAGTTGAATAGCCTCGACATTCACGTGATGGTTCATGGGCTTCAGCAGTCTTTTTTACTATCGTGGCGACGTCCTCTAGATTAAGGTCCCGATGTAGGTCAATATTCCAAATGTACCAAGGAGCATAGACAATAGTCTAAACGATTCCAAAACGAAGTGCTCAGGAGTATTCTCATTTTCCCTTTCATTATTTGGATGTGGCTAGTAACGGAGATCCAACTCGTTATAGACATAATATAAAGACGCGAAATTTAAGTAACACTGTGTGTGTGTGTTAATAAACATCAAGTAGTTATCTTATCAGCAAAAACAGCATTGCCCGACTATTTAAGTATTAATTCTAAACGCGGAAGTGGACATTTCAATCGGATTATTTTAATTTATATTTAATATCTTCATGCCTTTTCTCCAAAGGGGTAGACTGAGACTACGTATGTCCAGTTGCTACCGACTTGAAGTACCTTTCTCGCGTCATCCACTAACATGATATTCACCAGGCATATTCGTCTGTTATGGGTACGTAGTTTTAAATTTTCCCTTGTCTAGTGCATTCTGAATTTTTGATACTTTATTTGATATATACGCAAGTAGTTGTTTTCAGTGTCTGTGACAATTAATTGGAAGGACTAACGGTATTAATTATATAATATACTAGCCGTTTCGCGCCCGCTTTGCTGGACGAATTAAAATAAATTTTATGTTTCATTATTTTATTTTTTTTCATATTTTTATTATTCTTCTTTTTAACTTCCCGCTAAGAAAATTTAAATATTTCGAAAATCGAGTTTTTAACAGATGTTGACGTTTAGAGATTCTAGGAAGCCTCCCCGAATGTTTCCGCGGTGAAGTCCGTATGGATAAATTTTCATAAAAGTAAAACAGCAATAAAAAAATGAAGGAACGTTGGAATTTATTAACTAAATAGCCATAAACCATCTAGGTCGCTCGTTCAAATTTCGCATCGAAGGGTGGTAGTTTCATGTCGATACGATCAGTGGTTTAGGCGTGAAGGAGCCTCAAACGAAGACCATTTTTCTTTTATATATACAGATATTATTGAATTTTTAATACCGGTAATGTTATGAACAAACTCCTTTTACTGAAAACTCACGAAATATTTTCGTAAGCTTCCTATAAAGCCGCGAACAATTTGAGAACGGCCATTAGAGGGATACATCTTTGCAGTCTTGTAAATGGCGTAGATAAAACGAATTTTATCATTTGTTTGAGACGTATTTATAACGTAACGCATGGTTTAAAAATGATTAATCCGGATAAAAGAAGGTTTTAGTTGTTTGTTACTCAATATAATATTTCCAAATCTAAGATTTATAATTTTCAGAGTATTTAAAAAAGGAGTGGCGCATATATTTTTTGTTTTCATTAGAATTGTCTGGGCTCCAGATTTCCGTATCTATACCGAGATCAATTATTTTGTCTGTCAGACACCCTATGGCCTTTGACCATACGTGGTAGTGTTAAGTTTGATCATAGACAGAAAGTCCATTTGTGCGCACAGCCGGGGTTCAAACCTACAATTTAAGGGATGAGAGTTGCAAGCTGAAGTTACTTGGCCAAATGCTTTCAGAATATCATATACTGTTAAACGAAGTGGCCAGTTTTGTTTTAACATATATTTATATACAATATTGATATGAGTACGGCTTATTAACTAACTGTGTTAATTCAGCAAAAACATATTTTTCAATTCGAAAATTCGTTCCTGATGTCGATCTCGAGATTGTTCTTCTAAACTGAGGCAGGCTTTCAAAACAAAATTTATTAATTTTTCATTCATGCTTCCCTTTGATCGTAGCGCGTAATTCTTTTTAAATAGCTTCTTTGGTTTTTCAAATCAAATCTTACCTCTTTTAAACATACGTTTGGATAAGAAAATCATGGCAAAAGCTTAATCTACTTATTAACTACCTTAAAATAAATTTTAAGGACCAAACTGACTCTGCATTCAGGCTTCGCTGAGAAAATCCAGTAATATGGTTTCTCTATACAGACATATTGTATTATTGAAATGATTGTGTTTTGTTATAATTTATACTTCGCCTGAGAATCGAATCTGTGTTCCTTTGCGTAGTGCCTGTTAGTAATAAATATAAATCTCTTCAAGTATTCGAGTTGTGAGTTCCTTTTTATAATAATCGATACTGTTTTTCTAAAAATATTTCAGTACCTATTTCGTGGCCGCTTTTCCATAACATAAGCACTGAAATGACAACAAAAAATATCCATTAATTTCCGTTTCGACAATTCACTATGGACAATTCCATTAAAATTTTGAAATACCTGTCCATTTTTCAATTCAGTATTTTGCTTCAACGTATTGCCCAATTTACGTGATGTACTGTCGTTGTTTTCATGAAAATCATAGAACGTATATTTTACAGTGTTTTTTAAATGGATGTCTTGAAATTTAAGAATTTATTAGATTGATTGTGAA